AGTTGATTTTTTTTTTTTATAGTTTCTTAATTGGTTGACCTCTTTTAGAATCAAGGTTATTGACTTGACTTAAAAATATATATTTGAAAATTAGAAAAATATATTTTTATTTTTAAAATAATTTTCATCGTGATTCATCAACACATTATTCTCTATTACAAGTAATTTATAGTTATATTTACTTCAAATTATAACATTTTAGATTTTTTACTTCTTATATCTATGATTATACTTTGTATAAAAACATACAATGATAGTTTTTTGATTTATATTTAATCAATTACAACCTGTGATATTTTATTAAAATTGCCTTTTCATTGAAACATTTAAAATAGATTATGAAATTTTAATTCATTCACAATGCTGCATAGCAAAGGTTAAAAGTATAACTGTTATCCTATCTGTTATAAAGTTATCCTATCTTTTATATTCTTTACACTATCAAATTAAAATGTTAATGCTATGATGCTTTTATCATTCCCATTCATTATATTTTGACTTTCTAAAAAACATTGATTAATTAAAAGGTTTAAAAGAATTTCATTGCAGTGGATTATTGATTTGTTGAATTACACAATAGATGTATTCATAAGAATGAATCCAATCTCTTGCTCAATATTACATTATTATTATTATTAGAAAAAATATAATAGTTTTGAAAATAATTATTGTATTTTTAAATAAATTATACAAAAACGTTTTAATTTATAATTTTTTTAAAAATTAGTAATATATATATAAAGTCAATAATTCTTGCAAGTACTACTAAAAGTTAAATAATATGGTCATAATTTTACAAAATAATATGATATATCTGTTTACAGAAATTATTTGCATTATTATTTCTCTAAATGTTTGAATGAAAAGTCTTTATGTATTTTTCTTAGTGTAGATTGCATAAGTGAATGTAAATAGATCTTTTGTAGGCTAAAACTTGTTTTGTACATTGTAAATATTTGAATATTTTATTTACTTTTATTAATTTAGATACATAATTTAGTAAATACAATCTATCTCATAAATTTTTATATTTATTTTTTATTAGTTAAGGTAAGAATTTCCATAAAAAGCCAATGATATTGGAAAGAAATTACTGTTTTAACTGTAAATATAAGCAACACATGACTCAAAAACTTAATCATGGGTTTTTCCTTTCTTCTGTTTTTCTTATCTTTTTTTTTAATGATAAGTTAATGTGCATGCATATTTGCTAAATATTATATTAGCAATCAATTAAATATTACAGTAATTANTTTTTATAGTTTCTTAATTGGTTGACCTCTTTTAGAATCAAGGTTATTGACTTGACTTAAAAATATATATTTGAAAATTAGAAAAATATATTTTTATTTTTAAAATAATTTTCATCGTGATTCATCAACACATTATTCTCTATTACAAGTAATTTATAGTTATATTTACTTCAAATTATAACATTTTAGATTTTTTACTTCTTATATCTATGATTATACTTTGTATAAAAACATACAATGATAGTTTTTTGATTTATATTTAATCAATTACAACCTGTGATATTTTATTAAAATTGCCTTTTCATTGAAACATTTAAAATAGATTATGAAATTTTAATTCATTCACAATGCTGCATAGCAAAGGTTAAAAGTATAACTGTTATCCTATCTGTTATAAAGTTATCCTATCTTTTATATTCTTTACACTATCAAATTAAAATGTTAATGCTATGATGCTTTTATCATTCCCATTCATTATATTTTGACTTTCTAAAAAACATTGATTAATTAAAAGGTTTAAAAGAATTTCATTGCAGTGGATTATTGATTTGTTGAATTACACAATAGATGTATTCATAAGAATGAATCCAATCTCTTGCTCAATATTACATTATTATTATTATTAGAAAAAATATAATAGTTTTGAAAATAATTATTGTATTTTTAAATAAATTATACAAAAACGTTTTAATTTATAATTTTTTTAAAAATTAGTAATATATATATAAAGTCAATAATTCTTGCAAGTACTACTAAAAGTTAAATAATATGGTCATAATTTTACAAAATAATATGATATATCTGTTTACAGAAATTATTTGCATTATTATTTCTCTAAATGTTTGAATGAAAAGTCTTTATGTATTTTTCTTAGTGTAGATTGCATAAGTGAATGTAAATAGATCTTTTGTAGGCTAAAACTTGTTTTGTACATTGTAAATATTTGAATATTTTATTTACTTTTATTAATTTAGATACATAATTTAGTAAATACAATCTATCTCATAAATTTTTATATTTATTTTTTATTAGTTAAGGTAAGAATTTCCATAAAAAGCCAATGATATTGGAAAGAAATTACTGTTTTAACTGTAAATATAAGCAACACATGACTCAAAAACTTAATCATGGGTTTTTCCTTTCTTCTGTTTTTCTTATCTTTTTTTTTAATGATAAGTTAATGTGCATGCATATTTGCTAAATATTATATTAGCAATCAATTAAATATTACAGTAATTACATTTTATATTTTTCAAACTTCTTTTTTTTAAGAACTAATTTAAGTTTTATATTTTAATTTACTCATTAAGATGGAAGATATATATTTAGTCATTAAATCTTGAAATATGAAAAAAAATTCGTTTGTTTACATAGTTCAATTTGTTTATAGTATTATAATATTAAACAAATATGTAATAGTTTTAAAAGTATCTTTTTCCATTTTAAATTTAAATATATGTATTGTGTTTGCTTATATTAATTATTTAAACCCCCAAAATAACTTATTATTATTTGGAATGAATGAATGAAAGAAAATTCATAATTGGCCAATCACAAAAATTCTTTGGTGATATTATTGGAAAGTTAAGTTTTAAAATGGAAATATCGGTTCATCGACTTTAATGAAGTTAAAATAAAGCGGAAGAGTGCGAATATTTAGAGAAGATCGTTACAATCGAGCAACAGAGCGCCAAATCGAATGCATTCTACCTATACGTTTAAAAATGATTAGTATTTTCTATCAGTTTAAAAAAAATAATAAAAAAAATAATTTCAGTTGCTTGCTTGATTATAAAATAATAATAATAATAAAAGTAATCCAATCAACGGAAATATTAAAAACTGTTATGTATTTCGAAAGATAAAGGAAATATATTTTTATGATAACTTTATGAATAATAATCTATACGTAGTGAAATATTTTACATAAATATTTCGTTAATTTCATTTCTGTTATCTTAACTGTGTGGTCTGTTTTTTAGCATAACAGCGAACGTGTAAGGAAAAACCGCATTAACAGGAGTCCGGTCATTTTTTTTTTTGTCTTTTAAATACGATTTAATAATCAATAGGACATTTTCTTTCTATAAAATTACATTTATAATAGTTAATTTTATATAAATTATTACATTTTAGTTATATATATGTAATGTTTTTTTCTAATCGTAGTGCAAATAAAAGTTTATCACATATATACAATATATAAGTAGGCAACAGCGAGATTTTATTGTCCATCTTTCAAGATTATCCGTCGTCATGACAACGTAGCGTTTTGTGGAGGTGGACACTGAATGGTAGCAAACTTAATGGGCCACTAGGCTCCTGCTTTTTTTTAATCCTTTCATCTTTTAAACCTACGCTGAATGATTTAATATCTTAAGTATTAAGCTGGAAGTAATTGCATCTTTTGATAACTAGCCGAGTAACATTTTTTTTCCGTATCCATTAATAACATTTTTATAAAGTTATATAAGCAAGAAGAAAGTAAAGTTTATACTAACATTTTTTTTCCTATCAAAGTTTAAAAGAAATTCGATTAGTTTTTGTTTTGATTTTCTAAAGTTTAAAAATTAGTTTTAAACTTTAAATCCTTTTACTCCGTAGACAAACAACAGATGTTCCATGAAGTTAAAAGAGATTAAATATTATAGAAGTAATCGAGTTAAAAAAAAAAGTAATTAATGATAATTAAATAGACCAAAATTTTCTGGATTATCTAAAGTATTGATTTTTACTTGATAAGTCAACCNATCGTATATCGATTTATATTATGTAATTAGATATTTTAATATATATATTTTTAATTTTTAATTACAATTGTGAATATGGAAATTGATTTATATTATATCGAAGATATTACTCGAATCGATAATCGAACGCGACAGTTGTATATACGAATAACTTTAATTTCATTTATTTACTAATTTACGCAGGCAGATAATTATATATCGATATGTTTAAATTAAAGAGAAATATTCATAGAAAAATTTCCTCTCAATCATTTACAAACAGTTAGCGATAACTTTTCGAAATTAAAATAAAATCGCCCGTTTTTAGCGTCAATTTTCGCTATTGACTTAATGTTTGAGGGCTAAATGTTTCTCCAGAATTTACTCGGTTTAAATGTTTCTCTTACGTGAACCATGTTAGAAAGTAATCTTCTAATCTCGGTAATGGTTGATAGGAAGGATGTGATGATTACGTTAAATTTTATTATTAGAAATATTCATCCATTTCAGTAGGATATATTCCGAAATTACTGAAAATTACATTGTGCAAGCGTAATTTCCTCAATACCTAATGACATTTACACACGAATTCTCTGTATTGATTGAAAATTTATTGAATTTTGTATATCGTATTTTCAGAACCTCTGCATTCCTTATTTTACTTTCACTTCCGGAAACGGTTTACAAAATTCCTATTCGTTTTGTTATAACAAAAACTTGCGTATTAATTTCCTTAGAAAATCATCGAATAATACAGATTTTAGTATTAAAATTCTTGTTTCTCTGGAAATTTAGGAAAGAAACTTATACTGTCGGAGGTTTCTAACGGTTTAGAGACATATTCTAAATCCACTTTCCAGTGAATTTATTATAAATTCGTGAGATATTCGTTGGATATCTATTAACAGAATTTAATTGACACAATTTTAACAGTTTTTCGGGTCGGAAGTGGTTCGTAACTTAATGCAGGAAGTGCAGAATGGGCCTTTCCCTAGAGAATGTGTTTTAAAGGAGATGCACATCATTTGTCGGACGACCGTTATACTGGGTTATAGAATATTAGTCACTAAATATATCCCTTCCTGTCATCGGAGAGAAAACAGGTGATGATGATGGTCGGGATGCCCCACGGCTGTTGACTAGCAGCATTTCCGGTTAGAGCTGGCGACAAGTAACTAACGATAGTATTATAGATGGACGGAAGTCCGTGCGACCGTTAGTTGTGCGCTTCCGTTTCCTCTTTGCTCGTTTCTGTTTCGGAATATTGCGAAAAATTAAGTTAATTAGAAAACAAAAGTAGCATAACGGCCCCACCTATTGGTTAATGCCAAAAGAATGTCGACGTTTATATTTTGTTTTTTAAATTTATTTGATAAATTTTTAATCTGAAATCAACGTAAATTGTTGTTTTTTGAATATTTTATCATCATTACACGAAACGGATGAGTGGGAAGAAATATATTTTTATCGAAAAAAAGATCAATCCACTATATTTTCTTACAGTATGGTTATAAATGTCATTAACATGCGATATTCTAAAAGTTCATTCAAATGAAATTTTAATTAGTAAATTATGGTTTAAAAATTATAAAGCATCAATTATAAAATATGATGAAAGTTGTATTGTTGTTTGGAATAGCTTTCACATAAATATATTAAATTTAATAAAATTTAAATGTTAAAAGTGTAAAATAATGGTGGGTGGGTAAATGGTTTGCTGGGTTATTGCATCTAATTATAAATCTGAAAAGGTGGTCATTATTAAAAAATAATATCTGAATATTTTAATGTCAATTTTATTAACTATTCTATAATTTTTAATTTTAGTGAATTAATGTTTAACTTTTATTTTGTCAATTTTATTAACTGAATACAGTTACTCTGTAGAAAACTAATTGAGGATAAGTTTCATTGCTTTGCTACAATTCTATTTTAATTTTTATGAATAAAATTTCACAAATTTCACAGTATGTACTGTACATTACAACAGTTTCTAAATGTTTATTCGTTGTTACAGGAGCAGTGAGTTATTTGTTGATAATCCTGGAGATAAAGATAGAATAGCAGTTCGTTTGAATATAACTTTACCTAGACTTAGTTGTGATGGTAAGTTTCTTTTTTATTTTCAGTTTACATATGTTATTGAGATTTAATAGTGGTAAGCAAGTTCTAAATATCGTCAATTTATTTTGTATTTTGTAAATTATAAATCATCATCAAGGAATCATAAAAGTTATTTTTTGATTCAAATATTAATTAATAAATAGATCTTTTTATCAGTTCTCACTTTGTAATGAATCTTAGCAAACAATAGCAGTAATTAGTTACAAAAATGATAAACTGTAACTTAACTGTAAATGATAAGTTATTTTAAATTTATTTCAATAATGATAAAATCTACATTGCGAGCCAGAAAATATTTAATATCTATATTATAAGTACCAATACAATTCTGATTAAATTCTTCAATAAATTTTGTTGTGATGATAACTTATAAAGTGCAATAAGAAAAAAATACTAAAATAGTTGCATATAAATTTATTTTTATAAGCAAACATATTTTTATTTATTTATTTTAGTAATTTTAGTATTATTTTTAAAATAGATTTTAACAGGAAATAAAATTAATTTCCTGTTAAAAAATACTTTTGTTAATTTATAATAAATTTTTCCTGTTTTGCCAATATTTGCTAATAACTGTTTCTTGTTAAAAATGGTAATTTTAATAGTTTCAAATTAAAAATGAAATAATGAATTCCAATTTACTTATATATTATAAATAAAAAAAACAGATTAGAGGAGAAGGTGGTATTATGGAACCCCAATTACATTTTAGTGAATTGTAAACAAGGTATCATAACTATACCCACATTTTTTGTGCGTAAAGTACTGGTAACTAGTAAACTAAATGTTCCTAATTGGATTTTTCGCTAGTGTAATTATAAGTATGGTTTTTGAAGGTTTTTGTACAAAAAGTCCAAAAGTAGGCTTAGAGAAAATCGGGTGGTAATATGGAACCTTACTGTATATTTTCAAAAAAATGCTTTAATGTAGCCAAAAACAAATAGGAAAGGACAAAAAATGTTAAATAATTACCAAATTATTTACTCCAATGTATTTTATCGCAAAAATGCTTTTATAATAGAAAAATATGACCTCCATCAACAATATATATTCCAGCAGCTCTTTTTCGATATTCTCAGGAAGAATTGGCTTTCTACCTAGTGTCTTTTTCACAAATTGCTCTGGAGGAATGTCTGCTTGCAAATAGAAAGTTCGGAGGAGTTGAGTTCCATATTACTGTAAAAGCACCAATGGGGTCCGTATTTCACGCATCGCCATCTCGAATTAACTTATGTCTGTCAAGACCAAAATTTAAAAAACGTGAACATCACACAGATTAATATGTACCCCTAAGTCTCTGGAACGGAATACATGCACCAGTGAACCTACAACTACACGATTTATATTTTAAAAATAATTAAATTCACTTAGCATTCAAAACTTGCGAATTTTGAAAAAAACAAATTTGCTGATTAAATACAGACAACCGTTTAACTGAAGTAAAACGGGTTTTCCCCTTGCTATGGATGTCTGCCTAGTTCAGTTCAGCTACATTCCGCTACAGTTCGCCCTTATTATCAGTTCGAAATGGAGTGGTTCCATAATACCTGCAGTGTTCCATAATACCACCTTCTCCTCAAAAATTTGATGAATTGAAGAATTATGGATTAGAAATATCAAGAAGTTATCTTGTGAATATTAAGAAAATTAAAGCTTGAAAATAGTTTTATGGTGTTTGTTATATATTCAAATAATTTATACTGTATATTTTAATAAATTTTCTTGAGGAAATTTAATTAAGATTGTCTATCTTAAAATATTTATAATTTTAACACATTATACAAAAAAATCAACTACAAATAAAACTAGAAGTAAGGATTCTAAAGAACTTTGTTTAATTAAAAGACCATATCTTGTTTCAGAGGGATCTCATGAGACCACACACTATATCATAGGTTGCTTAAGCGTATATACACAAAAATATATGCTTGTGCATTAATATATAATTTACATAATTATATTTAAATACATGTTTATGTACATATTTAAATATGATGATGTAAATCATATTATGCGGTCATATCAAATTCTTAATGTTCATTTACATTTTAAGATGTTATTTATTAAATCAGTTTTTTAATTATTAAAACAATTGCTTTAATTATATCTTATTTTCAAAGAAAAATTGAAACAATTGCTTAATGCAATTTAAATATTACAAAGATTGTTTTGTAAAAATTGTAATTTGTATAATAACAAAAAGATTGTAATAGAAAAATGTTAATTTTTTGAGAAATAAGATGACTGCATGAGTATGTTTTGTTGAAAGATAGTAGTAAGCTTCTGCTTGAAAATTTAAGAATAGATATAGGTTTTTGCTTTTCATTTGTTACTTGTTAAAAATGCAGGATAATTTATGAATTTAAAAAAATTCTGTTTCTTGTTAAATTGCATTCTTGTTTATTTGTTATGAATTTCTTATAGGTACACAATAAACAATTTAACAGCAAGAAATTTCTCTGATTAGTTTGTTAGAAATTTATAATGATTATTAAGGCAATGCTCTTCTCTTTTTTGTTTTCTTGTTAAGTCATCATTAAATTTCATTAAGACAAAAGTTTTTCTAAAAGTTTTGGAACTTTAAAAAATAAGTCATCCATTAGATTAATCTATATTTTCCTCTTGGCTGTTATTCCTTGAAGATAAGTGAAAAACATGAAAATTTTTGTGATTTTTATATAAAATAGCTCTATTAAAGTATTTTATGACAAATTAAAGAATAGTTTTAATTTATATTGATTAATAAACTGATAATTTATAGTAATAGTAGTTTATAGTTATACTGATAATTTATTTATAGTAATATTATCTATGTTGTTATGAATATTAATAAAAATATTGGTATTGGTATTTACACACATTGAATATGATATTTGGAGTACCATTTAACTGAATGCACTCAGCAAATGCATGTTAAATGTCATATTATTTGCACACATGCATCACAGATATGTTCTTGTATTTTGTATGAAGACAAAATCATTTTGTACATTGAATATTGTAGATGATTGGCTTTCAATTATCTTTTTTTAAATTATCCAAGTATTAAATATACAGTACTTATTTTATACTTTATATTGGAATCCAGGTATTTTAATCATTATTAACAATATTGAGGTAGCAAAAGTAAAACCAAATGTTCAGTTTTAATTAACAATTTTCTTTTGTAGAATATTCTAAAAGCACAATTATATTTCACAAAATTGCAGTTTATTTTATTATTGTTGAATATAATGACTACTGAGAAGATTCACCACATATGGAAATTGTTTTCATTATATAATTAGCATTCAAAGGTTTCTGCAAATTAGAAATAATGGTTCTATTAATTTTTTACAAATTAAATTTTGTTTATTCTGTTAAATTAATTTGTTTTGCTTTATAGTTTAAATCTTTTTAGTTTCTGTATTGATAAAATTGAAATATTTTAATTTTTGAAAATTGATGAAAATATAATCTTTCCCTAATCAAATAAAACGATCTAATTTAATATGTGGATTTTCAAATATTACAATAGTCACAGAAAAATTAAACATTAAACATCAAATTTTGAAGTCTTTTTCAAAATTAAATTGTTTAAAAATTAATCATATATAAAATAATTTTGAAATTATAAGCTATTCAAATAATTTAACTGGATGATATCACTATTGGATTACTTAATGGAGGATTTGACAGGATGTAACATATACAAAGTTATGAGTATTAAGAACAACATTTCAGAGCATTATTTTTGATTTGTTAGATTGAATTCAATATCTGTCAAAAGAAAGAAATTAAGATAGTCAAACACAAAGCAATGTAAATTCTTAAAAAATCATTAATAAAAAAAATACTTGGACCAATAGTAAGTTATTTCTTTCAGTTTAGTTTAGGAACATCAAATATTTTTTTGATATTTAAAAATTAAATCATCATTTAAATTTTTAATAAATTTCTGTATGCTTTCATTTATTATGATCAGTTAATAAATAATAATATAACAAAATAAAATAAATCAAAACTGCTTCTTGATAATCAAACTAGCAACTATTAAGAAATTTTTCGGCCTGCCATAGGCTAGCTTCAGCTTATAGCATGTGATGTTGAATGTAATACTTACAACAGGAATGTTAGTCCTGGATATATTATATAGATTCAGCTTATAGCATGTGATGTTGAATGTAATACTTACAACAGGAATGTTAGTCCTGGATATATTAATAAGATGTGGTAAAATCAGAAGTATCATAGTTTAAACCCTAAGAAAGGGTTTAAACCCTTTCTTAGGGTTTAAACTATGATACTTCTGATTTTACCACATCTTATTAATATATCCAGGACTAACATTCCTGTTGTAAGTATTACATTCAACATCACATGCTATAAGCTGAATCTATATAATATATCCAGGACTAACATTCCTGTTGTAAGTATTACATTCAACATCACATGCTATAAGCTGAAGCTAGCCTATGGCAGGCCGAAAAATTTCTTAATAGTTGCTAGTTTGATTATCAAGAAGCAGTTTTGATTTATTTTATTTTGTTATATTATTATTTATTAACTGATCATAATAAATGAAAGCATACAGAAATTTATTAAAAATTTAAATGATGATTTAATTTTTAAATATCAAAAAAATATTTGATGTTCCTAAACTAAACTGAAAGAAATAACTTACTATTGGTCCAAGTATTTTTTTTATTAATGATTTTTTAAGAATTTACATTGCTTTGTGTTTGACTATCTTAATTTCTTTCTTTTGACAGATATTGAATTCAATCTAACAAATCAAAAATAATGCTCTGAAATGTTGTTCTTAATACTCATAACTTTGTATATGTTACATCCTGTCAAATCCTCCATTAAGTAATCCAATAGTGATATCATCCAGTTAAATTATTTGAATAGCTTATAATTTCAAAATTATTTTATATATGATTAATTTTTAAACAATTTAATTTTGAAAAAGACTTCAAAATTTGATGTTTAATGTTTAATTTTTCTGTGACTATTGTAATATTTGAAAATCCACATATTAAATTAGATCGTTTTATTTGATTAGGGAAAGATTATATTTTCATCAATTTTCAAAAATTAAAATATTTCAATTTTATCAATACAGAAACTAAAAAGATTTAAACTATAAAGCAAAACAAATTAATTTAACAGAATAAACAAAATTTAATTTGTAAAAAATTAATAGAACCATTATTTCTAATTTGCAGAAACCTTTGAATGCTAATTATATAATGAAAACAATTTCCATATGTGGTGAATCTTCTCAGTAGTCATTATATTCAACAATAATAAAATAAACTGCAATTTTGTGAAATATAATTGTGCTTTTAGAATATTCTACAAAAGAAAATTGTTAATTAAAACTGAACATTTGGTTTTACTTTTGCTACCTCAATATTGTTAATAATGATTAAAATACCTGGATTCCAATATAAAGTATAAAATAAGTACTGTATATTTAATACTTGGATAATTTAAAAAAAGATAATTGAAAGCCAATCATCTACAATATTCAATGTACAAAATGATTTTGTCTTCATACAAAATACAAGAACATATCTGTGATGCATGTGTGCAAATAATATGACATTTAACATGCATTTGCTGAGTGCATTCAGTTAAATGGTACTCCAAATATCATATTCAATGTGTGTAAATACCAATACCAATATTTTTATTAATATTCATAACAACATAGATAATATTACTATAAATAAATTATCAGTATAACTATAAACTACTATTACTATAAATTATCAGTTTATTAATCAATATAAATTAAAACTATTCTTTAATTTGTCATAAAATACTTTAATAGAGCTATTTTATATAAAAATCACAAAAATTTTCATGTTTTTCACTTATCTTCAAGGAATAACAGCCAAGAGGAAAATATAGATTAATCTAATGGATGACTTATTTTTTAAAGTTCCAAAACTTTTAGAAAAACTTTTGTCTTAATGAAATTTAATGATGACTTAACAAGAAAACAAAAAAGAGAAGAGCATTGCCTTAATAATCATTATAAATTTCTAACAAACTAATCAGAGAAATTTCTTGCTGTTAAATTGTTTATTGTGTACCTATAAGAAATTCATAACAAATAAACAAGAATGCAATTTAACAAGAAACAGAATTTTTTTAAATTCATAAATTATCCTGCATTTTTAACAAGTAACAAATGAAAAGCAAAAACCTATATCTATTCTTAAATTTTCAAGCAGAAGCTTACTACTATCTTTCAACAAAACATACTCATGCAGTCATCTTATTTCTCAAAAAATTAACATTTTTCTATTACAATCTTTTTGTTATTATACAAATTACAATTTTTACAAAACAATCTTTGTAATATTTAAATTGCATTAAGCAATTGTTTCAATTTTTCTTTGAAAATAAGATATAATTAAAGCAATTGTTTTAATAATTAAAAAACTGATTTAATAAATAACATCTTAAAATGTAAATGAACATTAAGAATTTGATATGACCGCATAATATGATTTACATCATCATATTTAAATATGTACATAAACATGTATTTAAATATAATTATGTAAATTATATATTAATGCACAAGCATATATTTTTGTGTATATACGCTTAAGCAACCTATGATATAGTGTGTGGTCTCATGAGATCCCTCTGAAACAAGATATGGTCTTTTAATTAAACAAAGTTCTTTAGAATCCTTACTTCTAGTTTTATTTGTAGTTGATTTTTTTGTATAATGTGTTAAAATTATAAATATTTTAAGATAGACAATCTTAATTAAATTTCCTCAAGAAAATTTATTAAAATATACAGTATAAATTATTTGAATATATAACAAACACCATAAAACTATTTTCAAGCTTTAATTTTCTTAATATTCACAAGATAACTTCTTGATATTTCTAATCCATAATTCTTCAATTCATCAAATTTTTGAGGAGAAGGTGGTATTATGGAACACTGCAGGTATTATGGAACCACTCCATTTCGAACTGATAATAAGGGCGAACTGTAGCGGAATGTAGCTGAACTGAACTAGGCAGACATCCATAGCAAGGGGAAAACCCGTTTTACTTCAGTTAAACGGTTGTCTGTATTTAATCAGCAAATTTGTTTTTTTCAAAATTCGCAAGTTTTGAATGCTAAGTGAATTTAATTATTTTTAAAATATAAATCGTGTAGTTGTAGGTTCACTGGTGCATGTATTCCGTTCCAGAGACTTAGGGGTACATATTAATCTGTGTGATGTTCACGTTTTTTAAATTTTGGTCTCGACAGACATAAGTTAATTCGAGATGGCGATGCGTGAAATACGGACC